AAAGAGAGAAAATGGGAGTCACTAAGAAATGCCAAGCAAAAATTGCACACTGACTTCTTGTACGCAGCTAAGCAATAACACTTAGTGATTTCTAGAAGAGTCAGATCTTCACAGTCATATAGAAACAGCACTGTGTCAAACAAACCACAGAAGAAATAGAAGAACTAAACACAAGGACAGAAACAGAAACATAGAATTTATTTTATTATGTTTTAAAGACAAAGTTTTAATTCAATGAAATAAAGGGTTTATAAAAGTTTGCTTTATCTGTTGTAGTGGTTTTGTTGTTTGTTTTTTTTTTTTTTTTTTTCGCTCTTTTAACTTTTTTTCTTTTTATTAAAGAGCATGAGATGCAGACAACAATACACAAGGAATGGAATATTATGCTAACATAGGACATCACCCACGCTAAAGAAGCAACTGTTAACAGCTATGCAATGAACAGCAAAAGGTAATCAGAGCAAAGGAATATAAGCAAGTAATTCTGTGCTGAAACAGGCAAGAACATTGACATGTAAAAAAGAAAGCATTTTAAACTCTTTAACACTTTATAATACATGTGGAAGAACTCACGTTTTTCTACAATGGCTACTTCACAGATTTCTTTGAGTCTGGATATAAGAAGTTGGTCTGCTACCACAAGAACATTGCATATGAATTCCACATTTTGAGAATCTAGAAAACAAAGCATCACATAAATGTTGTGGGCAAGTCAAAAGCAGCTGTAACACATACAGCCTCAATGAGATTTTACCAAAAGACAAATGTAACGGCTTTGCAAATTGTGATGGGATTTTCACAGCACAAGGAACAGCTTAGAAGAACACAGTCATTTTTTTTGAAGCAAGAGAAGGAGGGAAAAGGAAAACTGCAGTTTGACAAACTGAAGAAAGGTACAGCTATCACCTCAAAGTCTAAAGCAAGAGTCACAAAAATTTGGATTTTCTACCTGAAACTTCAACACAAGCTTATTAAGTATTGAATTTCTACTTTAAAAATACAAAAAATGCGGGAGCTACAGCTGAGTTGAAAATATATTAATGGCACCTTTTATCGCAAGAGCTTCATCTGTATACAGGTAATCTACAATTATCTGTAGTATGTCAGAATGGATTGGCATTTCCAGAGCTGAACAACAGGAAGCCTAAAAGGCAAAAGGATTTAAAAAAAAAAAAAAAAAAAAAAAAAAAAAAAAAAAGGCAAAATAAGTTGACTACTTGGAATAAAATACAAAATTAAGACACCAGTTATATTTAGCAAATGACTCAGACTGAGGGTCACATTTTCAAAGTTAAGCAATTATTTAAGCATTTGTACAAAATCTGTTCTTCAATTAAGAATTGACTGTAGCAGAGCAATTAAAATCTGCCCAAACTTCTGAATAAATAACCATGAAACATTTCAGTGTTTCACCCCTTTGAGGATCTCCTCTAACAATCCTCCTTGATACTACTTTACCCAGAACTGTTTAAAAGCAGAACTACAGGAATTTCCTATGCAAGTCCTGTACTGCTTTCCTTTCAAGGTAAAAGACCTAGTGAAAACACAAGTTCCCAGGCAAAAATAAAATTAGTCATTACTGTTAATCCCTCAGAAAACATGGTCCTCTGCAAACTCTCTATTCGAAGAACCATCTTAACCATTAAGGCAAAGCTTTTGTATGAGCAAACATCAGCCATCAAACCATGTAACTGTCACCATTCAAGTTCATGCAACATCACCACTTAACAACTTTGGTTTCTTTCAGGTGGTACTGAAGCAAAGCTTTATACTAAACATTGCTTTTGCTTTAGAACATACTACTGGTACTGCCATTATTTCCCACCTGAAGTTTAAAAACTTCTTACAGACATTAAGGTTCTTATACAATGACTAGAGCACTTAATTCACAAAATATTTACTTATGAATTTAGTAAGATTTAGATTTATTTACAAAATAATAGATAATGTAAGAACTAAATACAACTGATACAGAAATCAACAATACAAATGCACATTCAACACTTAAAAAAATAATAAATCAACCACTTGTGTCTCAGTGTTTTGGATACACTTCCTCGGGGATGACTGAGGAAAAGGCAGCACAGTAACTTAGAGGACATGCAAAGTTCTGTTACCCAGCAGAAGAGAACTGCCAGTACTTTGCCAAGTTCTTAGATTTACATATCGACAAAAAGCTATGAAAGTTGAGAAAACTCTTGCATGATGCTTCAGCTTTCAGTCCCTGAAAAATGCTTCTCCATGTATAACTTCCTTGTCATTCAACAAGCATTATCAACAGTATTCAGACACTTAAACAGAGGCATTTAGTGAAACTACAATGTCCAGGAACAACCAGGGTGTTGACAGACAGCTAGCAAATAGGAACCAAGGCAAACAGAAAATCTGCACCTTTTGAAGCAGCAGCTGGTGACTAAGTGGAACAGTCCTTGATATCCTCTATTTCATTAACAGTAAAAGTCAAATAGAGATTGTACACATTGACTCTCAATTCTGCTGTATCTGTCACTCAGTATGTATGAAAAGCTTTTCCATACTGCATACAATTAAAATTGTAAGATCTTTTACAGAAAGAAAATGAAAATTCATCCAAAGCAGTATCCCACAAGAACAGTCCAGCAGCTTCCATAAATCCATGAACTAGCTCAAAATAAATCTCTAAAACAAAATACTTTTATTTCTTTTGATATACATTATTACATTTATTACTCTCATTTAATACACAATCTCAATGGTACCAATATAGAGTAACCAAAAATGTGGGGTATTTCCAGTCTTTCTTTTTCCCCAGTATTTAGGATATGTTATTCCAGGAAAAACTGAAAAGCTGACACTTATTTGATGCAACAAAACATACCACCACACATTTATTGGCAAGCTTACCTCAATCCACGAGCTGCTTAACATGCTGTGAAAATAATCTGTAAAGAAAGGCATTTCAGTTCAAGATGAAATAAAATTTCAGTTTAAAAAGACAATACGACTTCTATTTTATACATATATATAAATACACACACATACCAAGTCTTGCACAAAGTACACACTTATGACACGGGAATTCCTTTCCATCTGAAGATTTCAGAGTCACATCACAGAGGTACGAACTAGAAGATAGTTAACAGATCAGAACTGTGACTATTCAGAAAAGCTACAAGTTGTAAAGTCAGCAAACAAATGCTTACTTCAGCAAGTTAGGATTTATCTTTCAAAATAAAGCACAACTGAACTTTAATAACAGCATAGAAAATGAACCTAAAGGTACAGGTATGCTAGTTTCAAGAGAGAAATATTTTGTCCAAAGCTGAGCTCTCAAAATTCCATCTAAAGTATTTTCTTCAAAACACAGTCAATTTCTATTTTAAAACTGCTACGACCAAATAAAATAATTATGGCTAATTTTAGTCAATCTTAAATGGTCTATGTTAAGTTAGTTATTTCTTTTACATTAGCAGCTACTATAAGCTTTGACAATTCATTTTAAGAGTGAAGTGATCCAAAATCTGTTAAAAAGCTACTTTTATGCAATGTAGCTTTTACTACTTAGACTATTCAAGTCTTTGGGTATAAATAACCCAGTCACACCAATGGAATTAAAAAACAAATATCACTTTGATAAAGGCATAAGGAATTTTTCTATTGAAAGGTATTCCAGAGATTTTCTTAATTAGAAAAAAATATTATACATTTGCTTATTTCCAATCCATGTAGTCTTACTGTCATAGCAAGCAAAAGTCACACTGCTTTTAACTGCATTACCCACAACATTTCTCATGGCATTAGTGTATCCTGACACAGTTAATCCATAGAACACATTAATGTATGGCAAAAAGAAGCAAAAATATACCATACTTAATCTATCCCAGACTACTAATTCATATATCAGTCTAGAAGCATCTACAGAGAACTTCCAAACATGAGTTACTGTGAAAGAGACAAGTGTAAACCAGAAGATAAAATACAGCTGATCAACCTTAGCCTACACTTAACAGATAAAGAGATGGCACAGGAGGAAGATGGCAGAGGTAGGGGAAGCTTGATTTTAAAAAGTTTACCATTTCTTCTGATTTAACTTTGGTTTGTTCCCATTCTTCTTGTTGATAACATTAATTTTTCCATTTTCTAACCTGACTCCATCCAACCTGCAAATCATTAACATTAGTAATAAATAATACAATTAGTATACATTGCAAACCATTAAGAAGAGCAGTTTCACAAAGTAACAACACTTCAGTGGGTTCATACTGTGAATACGAAAAAGGATCAAAATCACTCATCACAGACAACTAGAAAGGCCCAGTTGTTCCTTGAAGATCTTCTCTGCAGATGTAAAATCCAACCAACATTCTTTCCACATCTTCACTATCTTAGATGAAAGCTACACTGCTATAGTTAAGGCCACAGTTCAACACCACAGGGTCAAAAATCTAGGAGTTATATATACTACTACCAGTCAGTTATCTGAGCAAAGACAGTGATTTAGAAAAGATGCATGTTTCAGCACAGGCTTCTTTAGCACCCTAATTCATCAGGGAGGGATGGTAAAGACACAGGAGTGCTGCTGGTGGAATACAAAGCAATAAACTTTCAAAGGGAAGTGCTTTAACATGGAAATTTTACTTGGGAACTCAGTTTTAGGACCAGCTTCACATCTTTGCCAATTAATTTTAGTGTTTGCGAAAAATACAGTGAAGAAAACTGTCCTGAAAAAGTTAATAACCTCCTTTGAAATGAAAAGACAAATACAGAAAAAAAAAAAATCCAAAAAGCTTAGTAACACAGTTCTACAGAGACATTTGGTCTCAATTCCATTAGTTTCACCAAGTAACATTAAAAATGTATCAGTATCAGTTAAACAAGAATTTAACTTTGCTTTGTGTCATTTTACACTAAAAATGTTCATTCTCTATGGAAAAACTGGTAGACTACAGACCACAGCATAAATATTAATCAAACCAAAACTCAGTTAATCAGCCATCTCTAACAAAACAAGTACTGACGTATTATGACTGTTATTCTGGAAAGTCACATGATTTGCATCAGATGTCAAGTCTCAGAGAGCTACCTCCTTAAAAGATACACAGAATAGACGTCTTAAGTACAAATGTCCAGAAGGTTCTAAGACATAGTAAGGGCCAACAGCACATCTCCATCATATAGAAGCCTACTGAAAAATTACGCTTTAAGTACATAATCATGCCAGAAAGTCTGCTTCCAGCGTTACTCAAAAAGGTCACACGTGCCTTCTCTTGGTGAAGAGCATCAGAACAAACTGATGTTGCTTTTAACTGGTGTGTGCTGTGAACTTTTACACTTACAAACTATAAAAAAAGCAAAAAAAAGCGCAAACTTATCAACTCTAACTACCCTTCTGATCTAAAGTCAGAACAGCTTCAAAAAAAACCCCAAAACACCTCCGTGAAGAGCTTGCCAGAATATAAATATATTTCCTTTCACCTACCTTCCACTTAAATTGCTGAGTCCAAACTTCTTTGCAGCACTTTGCAACATTTTTATGAGGTTAGCTTCTTCACCAACAACTTTGCTTTTTTTAGATTTGCTCTTCTGTTTTTCATTTATAACTTGCACTTGATTATTTCTATAAATCTCAAATGCAGACTTTCCATTAACATTTTCATCGAAACTCATTTTGCTCAGGTTAGAAATTAAAGTATCTTGATATTCTTCCGATTTTCCTTTATGCAGGATTTTTGGTTTATAACCATGAGTCAAAAGATCACAAGTATCAGTGTACATGAACTGCAGAAGGTATGCAAACAGATCTGGATGAACTTTCTCTATTACATAAAGATCACACCCAACAGTATCTTCATCTTTACGGTAGACGTCTGGAGTCTCTAGCTTGTTGTCACTGGAAACAAACAGCTTCTTGAAGAAGTCAGAGCGCACAGCCAAGATGTATTTGTGCACGGGGTAAGTTCTTGTGCCAATCTGAAAAGTCACATCATGGATGCTGTCCATTTCATCTGTTTCATCTAACAGTTTGCCAAAATCCTCTCCAAAACTTGATAATGACACACTTGGAATTTCATAGAGACTAGAACAAAATGAAATTCATCAAAAAAACCCACTATTTACAAGCTCCATAAAATTTTACATAGTATGTTTAATGAAAAGGGTGAGGTTGTTTCCGTTTGGTTTGGTTTTTTCTCACATTGCTGGACTACTCAACATTTCTCGTCCTGTTCTTTACTAAAAGAACTAATAATATGGTATTTAGGCAATTAAACCACATATGTAAGATCAGTTTAGCTTCAGAATATTAAATAACAGTATTTTGTCTTTATAATGTAGCCAGTAAATATGTATTATCAGAACTATCTTAATCTCATTTTTCCAATAAGAATACACAGGAATCTTATCAATGCTTATAAATACATAAAGGGCGGGTGTCAGAAGGATGGGGCCAGACTCTTTTCAGTTGTGCCCAGCGAAAGGACAAGGGGCAGCAGGCACAAACTGGAACAGAGGAAGTTCCATATGAAGATCACAGAATCACAGAATAGTTTGGTTGGAAAAGACCATCATCTAGTCCAACCAAAAACCTAGCACTGTCAAGTTCACCACTAAAGCATGGCCCAAGTACCACATCAACATGTCCTTTAAATACCTCCAGTAATGGTGACCCCACCACTTCCCTGGGCAGCCTGTTCCAATACCTGGCAACCCTTTCAGTGAAGAATTTTTTCCTAATATCCAACCTAAACATCCTGTGGCACAACTTAAGGCCATTCCCCCTTGTCCTATCACTTGTTATGTGGGAGAAGAGACCAACACCCACCTCTCCACATCCTCCTTTTAGGTAGTTGTAGAGAGCAATAAGTCTCCCCTCCACCTCCTTTTCTCCAGACTAAACAACCCCAGTTCCCTCAGCTGCTCCTCGTAAGACCTGTTCTCCAGGCCCTTCACCAGCTTCATTTCCCTTCTTTGCACCCACTCCAGCACCTCCATGTCTTTCTTGTAGTGAGGGGCCCAAAACTGAACACAGTACTTGAGGTGTGGCCTCACCAGTGCCGAGTACAGGGGCACAATCACTTCCCTGGTCCTACTGGCCACACTGTTTCTGATACAGGCCAGGATGCTGTTGGCCTTCTTGGCTGCCCGGGCACACTGCTGGC